CTCTCACTCTCTCTCTCTCTCTCTCTCTCTCTCTCTCTCTCTCTCTTCTCTCTCTCTCTCTCTCTCTCTCTCTCTCTCTCTCTCTCTCTCTCTCTCTCTCTCTCTCTCTCTCTCTATCATTGTCTGGCTCTCAGGTTCTCACTCTTCACACACAGTCTTTCTTCTCTCCCTTTCCCCCATGGTGCGTGATATGCGCCTTGATCCCGAGACCATTGGTCGGGGGAGCGCACTTCACCTCACCGGCACAGCTCAATAGCACCTACACGCCCATTGTAGTCCCCTATGTTCTCTTGATGTTGTTGTTGTTTTTCTCTTCCATTCCTATATGTAGGCATGTGCACTTTCAAAAAAAATAAAAAAAATAAAGCTAGACGGTGTCGTATTACCCTCGATCGTACCTGTCCCGTACCTATCCCCTACCGTACCGTGCCATCAAAGACGGCTGGTCACAATGCATATTCAAATAGGGCTTTCAAATGCAAGATCACAATGTAGAACAACTTGGAAGAATTAGTATGTATGCGAAGTGTATCGGTGGATGCATGCAGGGCGCGCGATAGTGCGGGTTCGAATCCCAGGTTTAAAAAAAAGGATTTTTTAAAGAATTTATAACATCCCTATGCTTTTTTTGTCTAGGTCATCAAGGCAAAAAAGCATAGCGTAGGGCCCTGAGCTTCCAAGCTCTCTCGTTCTAACCAAGAGTACATAACGTTGCCATAGCGCCCAGCGCAGTGATGACGTATGAAAGGCTTAGCTCCACCACAGAGAAGGTCGATCACTGCAGAATTTGGTCATTTTCAATTGGTTTATTGTATTCATGAAGTGAAAGAAGGGCTGTTTTCAATGCTGTTAGTGCAGTGAACTGCTTGTTAGTAGTCCTCTCGGTTGTGTCCTGGGACGTGACACCGACAGGAGAAAGCTGGAGTGCGGAGACATCAGCAGACAAGCGAAAATAGTGACGAACAAAATGCTGAAATCTTGGTTGGGACAAATCAGACGTTCAGTATTTCCCCCAACCAAGGACCATGCCGTTTGCTCTTTCCACTTCCTGAAGATGGATGTGATGCTTCCTGGCGACTCTCCTATCTCTCGTAACATCTTCTGAAGCAAGGTGAGACGACGGGTGGTGGAGATTGACGAATGAAATAATGTCGTAGTTTTGAAAGTTTGCTGAAAATGTCTCAGGAGAGATGGCGAATACCAAGCATCTTCTCCTAGAGGAAACAATTTCTTAGGCACAGTCAGCCTAGGGAAATGCAGGGGAAGGCCGATAAACAGTTCACGGCACTAACGGCATTGAACACAGCACTTCTTTCACATCGTGAATACAGTAAGGAAAATGACCAATTTCTGCAGTGATCGACCTTCTCTGTGGTGGAGCTAAGCCTTTCATACGTCATCACTGCGCTGGTCGCTATGGCAACGTGAGTATACAATTGGCGATAAGGCAAGTTTGGCTTATCGGATGGAAGCGGGAGATATGCCATTCGAACCGATATCAAATTGTCTTTCTTCTGGACCCTACTCGAAAAATCGATGCACTTCCCCTTTAAAAGCCGCGGACATACATGATTGTACATGACTGTAATACGAGCAAATACATGTATGCACCACTATTCTACTAATAAACTACAGCCGAAAACTACGAAGTCGAAAGCTACACAACAAGTGGACACATACAGATAATTTGCAAAAAAAGGTCAGATAGAGAACAGTACTTGCGTGACATAACGGCAGAACGAACAAGGCAGACTTAAAACACTCCAACACGCTGCAGCAAGATAACACTGGCAAACCGTGATCCAGTTCACACAGCGCTGGACAAACTTTGCTACCGTCAATGTATCCATAGTGACCTCCTGAAAATGCCAGGAAATGTTAAATTTTGAATTTTCCTTTGTTCAAGCACTGCACTTGCAGGCAAATGAAACGTCATCAAAAAGTGTGGAGCACGACCGCGGTACCGCGAATGGCGAGTGTCAGTGGAACCGCGCTGCTCCGCTGCATGTACCGCGGAGAAGCGGAGCCGCAGTGGAACCCGGGCCTTAGGCTGTGTTAACATGAGAATTTTCAACCCGGGTTGAAAGTCTGTACAGTCATGTATGGTGGAAAATTAGGTGCGTGCATACATGTATATGAAGTGAGTTAATCCGGGTCAATTACTGTACTGATATGCCAACAGAAGCCTTGGCAGTTGTGGTCAGTTTTGTGTGTGGGCTTTCATGAAGACGGTTGAAAGTAATAATAATTAAATGTGGTTCACTAACTCCCTTACTTACACCACACACTACCACCCTCTCGACTTTCACTGACTTGAGACTGAAAATAAATAAATCCAAGTAATATTAGTTACTCACCTCTCACAGACCTTCCTCCTCTCTTATCACGGCCAATGTGACCAGACATATCATGCGAGTGCCATGGATGCAAGATCTCCTTTTGTTGGCCGTCGTCTGTGATCCATTGCGGTAGGCCTTCATCTGTTTGGCGAAAAAGGACCCCACGATCCAAGACGAAGTTGACTGCAAAGCGTTTTATTGCTCTACGCCTCTTCGCGTCCGCAGGAAACGAGGCAGGCGTTTGCAAGCAACGCTTGCAAGACTTCGTCGTAACACGCCCGATTACCACCAAGAGAAGACATCTTCAGGACGTTTTGAAGAAAAAAGCCGAAAGCACAACTCATGATTGGGAACTGATTCCGCGGATGCATGTCGATCCGCGAAAACGGTCCATAGATGCAGGAAATGTGTGGAACCGTTTTCGCGGAGGAACCGTTTTCGCGGCTAGCTGGAACCGTTTTCGCGGTGAGGCCCCATCCGCGAAAACGGTTCCAAGAGGGCCATAGATGCAGGAAATGTGTGGAAGAACCGTTTTCGCGGAGGAACTGTTTTCGCGGCTAGGTTCCAGGGGGTAACCGGTGTATGCCTGGAACCATTTTCGCGTTTACACCGGGAGCCAGACTTTGTCAAAATATCAAACCAATACTTGTCCTAAATTTTCCTAAATTGAAGCTAGAGAGGAGGTCCGTTCGCCATTCTTGTAGTCGCTTCAAGGTGGCAAATAAGTCAGCATACCAGCCCGTCCTTCTCGGATGATCTGCTTGACCATTGTGCAACTTCTGAGACAAATACAATTGAAACAAATAAATAATATGATGGATGCATTGGCAAGTTCTTGTGACTTCACCAACGGTGGCAAGCATAATTTCGACATAATCACTTACTAGGCTGCAATAAAATGTGTAGAAGTATTTTCATGATCTCCAGTAAAAGGTAGCACCGAGTGGCCATCACCGAAAGACCTTGAACTACTGCAGAAACAAAGAATTCAAGCTTCAATTGGCAAACCTGTCGTAGCATTTGGGCACATTCTGTACTACTTTGTAGTAGATTTGGTACTCGAACCGTATGCGCAACGGATCGGGAGCTGGCTCACCGCCGATGTCTTGCGGCGCCGATTTTGCTTATGTGAACCAGGGAGTACTGTAAATATACAAAATTTCGGCGCTGCAAAATTTCGGCACTTCACGATTTTTGACATTTCGGCGGCGATTTATTTTCCGCGTGGGGTAGAGGGCATGGTATAGTGCGACAGGTGCTGTGAAAAATTTCATCGGCGTTTTAATTTAGGCGTTTTGGATCGGTGCCGAATATAGCCGAAATTAAATAGCTGACGAAAATTTGTATATTTACAGTAGTACAATACCGGTATTGTACTACTCCCTGGTGTGAATGCCCTATAAGGGTGTCTACTATTCAACTCAACACTACGACACAAAGGAGACTTCGAAGTGCATCTGTTCTCATTCACTCTTTGTAAACTCGAAAACTACACAATGTATCACCATCCGAGTGAAAATTACCAAGAGTACATGAAAACCGGGTTTTCATGTACTCTTGAAATTACTAATTGCAAGGAGAGATACCATAACAACACGAAAAGTACAAGACGTGAAAGTGAGAGGAAAAATCTTGTACAGAATATTCAACAGTGTGAAAGAAGAAGAGCTCAGCAATCCATGTGTGATGTAGATAAGATATTGATGCAAGATGCGACCTGCGGTGATTATCATGCCACTGTAATACAGTATCCAGTACGATTACCACAAGAACAATCTAAAACGTAGATGCTGCTGATGATCCAGTATGCCTATAATATAACAAGATCAACGTTCTTTTAATTGCAAAGT